TGATGCAGAAGTAGGAGTGGAAAGAACATTTGTAGAAAGAAATGCCTCTTAAATTTTTAGTTGTGGGTGAACAGAGGAAAGCATGCGGAGATTTAAACTGGAGAACATAAGAAATAAAAAGAGAAAAGAAAGGAAAAAAGCAACAAATGAGCTGCAATAGTTTTTCCTAGTTATGATATAAACTCTATTTTGTCCTCATTCCATGCAGAGGGTCTCAGTGAGTTGTTTAGGCTGTGGAAATACAGCAGACAAATTTCCATCTGAGGCGTTTAAGCTGTAAGGACAAGGTTTCTGAAATTAAGAGTTCTCTCAAGCAAGTTACTGACTGCTTTGCCACATTAGTTTGTTATATTAAGATTTTTGTAGACTCATTCTGTTTTATATTTGATCTGTTGTTTATTGTGACAATTGAGGGGTTTATTTCTCTCCTCCTCTGTGCTCATAACTGTAAGGCAGTAAACAGAATATGAAATAGTCCCCTGATTACTGTTGCCTTGATCTAAGCATGGTGTCTCAAAGACTTCCCAGGGCTGAAGTAAAAGGCTCTGTCAAGGCACATCAGGTGCAAGAAAGTGGCTGCTCAATGAGGCATCCTTTAATTGTGGAACCCAAGGCAGGAGCCTTTTCCTTTTTGAATACAGCTCTAGTGGGCTTCTACACCACGGCCAAGTCTTCAGGTAGTGCCATTAAAATATATTCCAGTGTTTGTTAAAAAGGTTGCTGTCTGGACTTAATGCTGGCTGCTTTCTCTTGATTTGATAGTGTTTTCTGGTTAACATCATCCTAAAGTTTATTTACTTCCTCCTCTTTGCATTTCTTGAAAAAAATAGTCCAGATATTTCTGCTGTCTTGCTATTGCTTCAAAGCACCCTCTTCTCTATATTTGTTTCTTTGGTAGAGTTACCTGCCTGGTTTTGCTTAGTAAGTTTTGTATTGGAATAGAAATCTGGAATGACACAGACCTTTCTAGAAGAAAATTACCAGTGATTCTTTTCTGCAGGTGCCCAATACGGTGCATCCTCTTGCATGTAAGCCACTGAATTAGGGATCAGATTATAACAGAAATATGGATCTTGCACTTGCTGGTTATTAGGGACCGAACGTTAATTAAACCCCATGGTGTGTCAGTCTTAAAAAACAGTTTTAATTACATAAGAGACCATCAGGACTTCTAACAATGACAGATGCAAACTACCATATTATTGGCCACCAGCCAAAGGCTCCATCAGGAACTGCTCTCCAGTTACACATGTGAGAAAGATCCAAGAGTATGTTTAACTTTGTTGACAGATTAAGAAAGGTTTGCAGGTAAGAGATATTAGAGAACGTGCTATTCTTTCAGATGTGAGAGGTGCTTAAAGGGGATGTCTGAAAAGAGCAATTTTCACAACTGGTGTAATTTTGTCAATGAATACACAGAATGAAATGTATGAATTGCTTCCATGTAAACCTTTTCCTGGAATGTTTATGATGCTTATTTGTGGGATCCATCTAAATATTGATATTATATTTGTATTACAAGCCCTTCTATTTTTCCCCCCCAGCTTTAAGATAGCAAAATACTTCCTTTTTTTTTTTTTTATCTCATTTAATTTGCCTTGGGTAATTATTGGCACAGACACAAACATTTACATTATACTCTTCTGGATTATAAAAGCTCTTACATAATACATTCTAAAATTACTGTGTGAAAATACCTCTCACTTTTATCAAAGTGAAATATGATGCAGTAAAACCAGCAGGCATTTTAATTTCCTCCTTCTCACTTCCTTAACATTCAGAGTAGTACTCTGACAGCTGAGTATGCTTTTTCATTTCTGTACTGTGTCTTGTAATCTAAGATGGAAGCCTCGAGGAGTGAAAGCAGTTTGCCCCATTTGTCAGTATTCTAGATTGGGCACTTTTCCTTAAAGCATGTTATTAACACAGTAGTTGTAAATGCAGTAGTCTAGCAACCTCACAGTCTCTGAAAGGCAAAACATTATATTCCCATTTGCAGGGGATGTTCCCATTCTCTGAGATTTCAATGCTGTGTTCAGGTGTCCCAGTGTAGTTAGTGTTCTTAGGGCTGAGATCACTAGAAACAGAAAACTTCGTTTAATTTGCTTTTTCCTCTGCCTTCTCCTTTCACTTTGTTTGCTATTGTATAGACCAGGGCTTGCCAGCATCCTGGATAGATGGGGCTGCTTACATACCCCCTCTTTGGCACAGTGGTAGGAGCCAGCAGAACAGCCTCATCCCACACTAATACACTTAGTATACTCTTACTGATTTGGAGTCAGATTCTTTTTTTCCCATTTTAGGAAGAATTAATCACATCCTTTGTCCTTTCCTTGACAAATCTGAGAATCGAGTCATCATTAAAGGGAAAAGCCATTGGTCCCACTTTTTCCATGCAGTTCTGTCACACTCATCAGTCCTGACTCAGGCTTTTGACACAAAATGTAGTGGGTGTTCTCCTTAGTAAGTGAGAGTTGGTAGGAAGCCACTTTGTTTCAGTTTGAGTTAATTTTGTTCAGGGCAGAAAGCTACTAAATTGCCATACTAAATTATCATACCACCTTATTTTTTGGTACAAACACCTTTTAATGTTAATATATTTTAGATGTGACAAACTTTAAACAAGGTACTGATGATAGTGATCATTGCTTCATCAGCTGTAGCTTCCACGCTGCCAACATTGCCTACATGCAAATCATTTCAATGCCAGTAATTTCATTGCCAAAGCAAAATAAAAAGTGTAGGATTCACTCCTTAAGCTCTGTGGAGTGAATACTGTTCAAACTGTGGTCAGTAGTGGAAATATTTCCAAGACATTAGGTAGGAAAAGAATTTTTTTTTTTAAGCAAGACACTATAAGTAAGTATAGAAATCTCCAGCTTCCTTTGTATCACTGAGGAAAGGCATTTTGCAGTGAGTTTAATTGTACAGAGCTAGCACAGGTTGCTACAGTCTCAATTAGTGAACCTGCATATTTCTTCAGTGTCAAGATGGCTGGAAGCTTTGAAAGTAAAAAGGGAAATTTAGACTGACTTTCTACAAAAGCAGAGAGAAGGGTTGGCTCAGCCACTGGAAGCTTGAAAAGTATTGATGCATTTTGTGTAATATTGCTGAGAACTGTCTTTGCTTTTCTTTGACACTGTGATCTTTTTGTTCAAGCTGAGGGCACATCCTTTCCCAGTACTTTCTGACAGTTGTCCTCATTGGGATGAGCACAGTAGTGGGAAGGATTAACTTACATCAGACATTTCTGACACTGTCCCATCAGTTTTTGTGTCCTGAGAATACAGGACAGCACTTGCAAGTTACACTGCACCTGAACACACCTTCTCTGTAAAGCATGGTCCCTGCTGCTTGCTGTGTCCAAAATACTTAACAACAGGAAATGAAAAGGCAAGGATGGGCTCCCCAATGCTTCCAGTCAATGCTTCCTTGTTCCTCTTGTTCAAGCATTGTTTGTAATAGATCAGGATGAGTTAATTGTTAAAGGATAATAAGTCGCAGGACTTTTCTTTTTAAAGGGAGTGGCATGGAGAGGGTGTTGATAGTTTGTCCCTCACATGTAGGGATTATGTCTCTTAAAAGCAAAACAAACCAAAAGGACCCTAGGCTGATGATGGTAAATAATATCAGGACAAAACATGGATGCACAGACAGCTTTCACTGTTCTAAGCTTGCCCTGTAATTGTATATACGTAAATTTTTATACTAAGTGCCTCATCTTTCGTGAAAGTAATAGCAGTTTAAATTTCAACTATGCTTAAGGTTTGTTATTCTATTCATATGGTTTAGTGAATTTGCAAATCCTGTTTGAGTTAGAAGTTACCTAATCTGTGCTGTGCAAAATTTAATGAGACTTCCTGTGGTAGAACAAATCTACTCTGAACCTTTAGTGCATATTATGAAAATAAGTACCTCCCAAAAGTTGGGGTTTGATCATTTAGTTGTCTTTTTTAGTATTTAGACTCTGTTGTTTGAACTGCTTTGCATTGTTGTAACCTGAACTGACTATAAAATCTGATTTCTGACTTTTCAACTCTAGGAATCTCTACCACCTGTCCAGTTTGACTGGAGTAGCAGTGGCCTTACTAACCCTTTAGATGGTACGTCTCTCCGTAGAGCCTCTAGCACCAGAGCTAGAGATAAGAAAGCTACAAAGTTCAGACAAACATCTATCTGCTGATTATTTTTTTAAATATATATATATATATACACACACACATATATATATAAATATAAATGAAAAAATTTATTTCTTACTCGTAACTTTGGAAATTCAGGCTTTCTTTCTGATTAACAGTGCCCCTATGTGAAGTATTAATGTGGTCTGAAAAATACTAAGTTAAGGATTATTTCAGATTCCTGCCATATCCTAGTGACACAGTGGCAATATTAACACTTCATTATGTATAACTGCAGAGTATAATGAAATTCTGAACAAATGAGCATTTTAGATGGATGAGTTTTACTACTTGAAAGTATTTTTCACCGGTCAGCTATCTCTTTAGACATCCTTTGAATGACAAACTTGTGTATAGTGGCTACTGCAAAGCACAATATTTTAACCATGAACTGTTTGCAAAAGATCTACTTCTTGAGCCAAAAGTTTTCAGATTTACAGATAATTTTATATATTCAAAAATGTGACTTCATCCATTATCACTTTTGCTTACACCGAAGAGCTAATTATAGCTAATATATTAAAGAGGTAGCTACGAATGTATTTGTATCTGTAAATGTATATAGTTATCAAAGACCCTTCACCTATATCTATTTTAATAGCAAAGTGAGTTGTGCCACTGCCTCCAGTGACAGAAATGTAAGTGCATGCAAAGGATATAAAACAAGTTTTGGCAACTTGTTTGAATAACAGACTAGAAACCTGTAAAGAAAGTGAAACCTTTAAGAGGAGCCTGTTGACAGCAATTAATTTATGACACAAGTCGTTCAGAGACAGGCTCAGATAAACTGCATCTCTCACTGCACCGGTGTTGCCACAAAGTGTTGTTTCAGAACATGTGGGATGTAAGAGTTTGGATAGCAGTATCTCGGTGCTGAAGGAAAGCCTGGATGGACCTTTTTGCTGTTGTCTGGTGTCTTACTACTTCAGTCAATCATCATGCTTTCTTTTTAACAAACAACTTTAAAATGTATCTTGGTTTGATTTCTGTTTTAGTACTAAAGGGGAACAGTATAATTTGCCAGTGAGGAACTGGATATGAGTGGCATTTGTTACCCAGTGGTCACAGTGCTTTAAGATAATGATAATTAAGAGCTTAAAGCTGCTAAATAAAATTTTAAAGGTTGTTTTTTCCTTTTGTTCTTTGCTATTTGGGGATCTGCTGAGTCTTCCTGATGAAAGAATGGCTTTCAATTTCAGTGAGGGGAGTAAAAGCCCACTGTATTCTAACTATCGATTGATCTCTATATTGTTTCCCTTTAACTGATCACATCTTTCTCTCTGGGTCGTGCTGGTTCTCTTTCATTTTTAGATTGAAATAAATATTTCTATTTTCAAGTTACTAGTGTTGATTTCCTTGCTGCATTGTACATGAGGAAGTGTGCACTGAATTAAGTTGTTAACATTTTAGAAGGTACAAACTAATACTGTAAGCATTGTTTTCATGTCAATTTTTAAATTGCCTACTGAGTACTAATTATAACTTGCATGTTCAAGTGTGTGTCTTACCCCTTTTTACACATAAACCCCTCCCTTGGCTTACCTTCTATATGGCTGCCTACCAACACGGTCACTGAATTTCAAGCTAGTGGAGGTTCCACTCTTCTGAACCTTGATTTCTTTGGGCCCGTGGATGACAGTAGCTCTAGCAGCACCACCACAATCCCAGGTCAGCAGAGTGTTAAAACCACAACTGTAAGAATATAACGACTTACTAAAAGCATGAGCACATCACTTGACTTTCCTACAAGCCAGGAGAAATTGTTGTTTCTCTAAAATGTCTTTCTACTACGTTTTTCCTTTAATCTGTGTTCTGTTTTCTGATGTTTTGTATCGAGTACGAAGTATTTAAAAGGTACTGTCAGCCCTGTATTTGTCACCTGCTGAAGGAATGAATGGCTTTTATGCTCTTGCAAATAAGATGTTAAAACACTTGTTTCAAATGAGAAATTTCCAAAGTTAACTCTTCTAAGCACTTAAAATTTGAGAAGTGATGTAGATGTGACAATTCCTAAAAAAAATGAGGCTTGCTCTCTCTTCTGAATGAGTGCCTCCAAATTTTAGGATTATTATGTTATTTGGAAGCTATGTGTGAATATAGTTACAGAGCTTAATATATCACAGCTCTGTTGGGGTTTGCTGCTGCCAGGAGATTTTGTGTGAACTACTGATATTAATGATAAAGTGAAAAAAAGTGTTTTAACAACATTTATAATAGAAAAGAAGGATAGTTGCATGTTTGTGGGACATGAAAAGTTAATGAATGTTAACTGTAAAGCCAGAGCACTTTATCTGCAACTTACTCCCTTAAAAAGGAGATGAAAACACCAGTCTCTCATTGAATACTGCCAGGAAGTAGTTGAATTCATTTATCACCTGGTTTTGACATGCTCTGAGTATTTTGCACGAGCTTGTGAAAACCTACACTTTGAATAAATTTCTGCAGGAATTTAAGGGAACATTAGGGGGATTTATTCCAGTACATAGGTGAAGTCGATAAGGCAAGGACTCTTGAAGCCAGGATGAACAGCTTCTCAATAGGACGGATATTTTTTCCTCTTAGTGATTTTAATTTTTAAAAAATCAGATGTTTGGTGTTCTCCCACATTTCAAATAAGTGCTTATAATTATCGTTGTATATTTTGTATTTTAAAAACACTCTTTTTTAGTTTTGAAATCTCATCATTGAAGGCAATTTTGTGGCATGGCAATCTTAAAGGTCTTTTATTCCACCCTTGAGAAATGTCGCTATAAGATGAAAGATAGCAAGTTTGTCATGGAAGTGATAGCCTAGCAAAGTGAAGGTGCTTGAGTCCTACAAATTCTTTCTAAGTGTCTGGAAGACCATTGACACAAGTCACCAGTGCCTAGGACATGTGTTATTGCTTGTGCAAATTGTATGCACACTGCAAGGGATTGCTGGAGAGATACTGTTAGCCTCTTATTACATTTTATTTTTTATGTTGTTGTTTCATCAAGTTACAGGTATTATCACCTTCCCTAGTATGCCCTATAGTGCCTATTTTTGTTGGGGTTTGTTTTTGTTTTGTTTTGTTTTTTCTTTCCTCCTGACTTGTTTCTGGGAAAGTCATTTGTTCCTTGGCTTGCAGCTTGTGTGTTTGTGTGTGTGTTTAGGAGCTTTGTGTGGGGTTTGGGTGGCTAACTTTCCTTCAATATCTCATTAAGGTTTTGCAGTGCTTTCCTTAAATATTCTCTCATCATTTGAATCAAATGGAGAATATGCAACTCTTAAAAAAAAAATATTTGAAAGACAAATTGCTAGATCTTTTGGCTTAAAGAAGAAACTTTTATCAGTAGTACTAGTTTGTTCTTTCTCTGGAGACCTTAGTTTTACTTGCTGTAGATTGACACTAGATTCTTCTCAGTCTGATTTCATCAGTAGCCAAAATAACTTTTTAATGAAAATTTGCATTCTGCGTCATGAACAGGGAGTTACAGATTCCCACAGTTCCCACAGATTTAGTGTATTGTTTTATTTTTCATGTTAATAGTTTAACATAAATGTAGCTGAGTAAGAGGTGCCTAAAGAACAGTAAATTGAGCAGTGACATCGCACTACAGTGAAAATGAATTCAGGACTGTAAATGGGAATATATCAATGATGTAACTTACAAGGTTGTATTTAACATTTGTTGCAGAGTTGCATGTCAAAGGGCTCCTCGTTTCAATTAGCTTTCCAACTTGTACCTTAATGGGATTTCGCAGGCTTCTGCAAGTCAAAGTGTATTTCTTCAAGGCTTCCTCTCCCTGATTAAAGTGGATATTTTATGGAATATTTGGGCTTTTTTCCTATTTCCGAGTTCTGTAAACATCTGACAGTACTGAAAGTCTTGGTGTACTGGTCTTAAGACAGTACATATTTTGATATTTTGCATGAAACTAGATGAAATTAACTTTGAAAATCCAGACTTTAAAAAAATGTACATTGAAAGGATGGCTGATTAGTTTTGAATCAACTCATATTAAATGGAACAAATCTTCTCCCCACCTCCTGCAGCTTAACCAGATGATTTTCTTGATTTTACATTTTGGTCAGCTTAATTTTCTAACAGTAAAAAGGAAATTAACTTGTGCCCAAAGGACAAATAGTCAAGGCACTGCTTGGGGAGAGCTCATGCAAAGCAGGTTTGAGGATGATTAACTGATGATCTGTTAGCGCATGCAGCACTGCAAGTACTAGAGGTAAAGGCAGGAAAATAGGCACAGGCATTTATTTTATTCAGTCATCTTTCAGTGTTTTAGGAATACTTCTAAAAGCATCTTGATCTTGGCAAGTAAGCTGGATATAATGATCAGCACTCGTTAGTAAGTGCTGGTTTTATACTAGGGAGCTACATGGGACCATCAGGCCCCAGTTTGCAATGTTTGTTCCACAGTAGGATGAAACACTTGTGTTGTCCAGACCAATTGGCACAAGTGTGACACTTGTTTAGGATGCAGATTTCTATAAAACAATGCTTATGTACAAAACCAGGTAGAATTTAACTCACACATACATATTTTTTCAGTGCAGGTTTTGATTGTTTGAGTGTTTTCCAAATGATCTCTGCAGATAAAATATGAAATCCGTTCACAACATGTGTGATGTCAAAATTAACATCTGACTTGAATACCTGAAACCAGGAATTCAAGGATGAAACTTCCAGATACTTAATGCTTTAGAAATTTTTGAAAGATGAAGAGGTAGCACAGAGTAAAGTTTTGGTAGCGCTATATGTATTAGTATGTAACTTTTTTAGTGCCATTCCACTTCTGTGTACCATAAAATCTGCTTTTCCTCACTTAAAATTTTAACACAATCCCTTGTGAAGAGCAAGATACTAAATGCGCTTTCATGCATGCCAGTGTTGTGTGTCTTCTCTGGGTGAAGAGTTAACATTCAGTGCTCTCTTAATACAGGCAGTTGAAGTAATTGAAACAATTCATTTTAACACAGCTGACACTTTTGCAGAGGTTTCACTCTAAAAAGTAAATCAAATTGGTTTTCTTTACTCATAGACTGAGATCTTGTCTGCCAGACTTGATCCAAGGTGTGTGTGTTTTTTAGTGAAACTGTAAAAGCTGCTTGAAAAAAAGATGGGGAGAGAGGATGAAGCTTCAGAAACACAAACATGTTCTGTCATGTTCTTTCCATGTATATTGAAATTATAAATGATTCAGATGTTTACAGAAAACAGTCTCTAGCAAGTTGGTCTGTGACTAATTATGGCTATACTTGCCTCCAACCATCACTGATTATTATTTTATACTATAAGGTGTGGATCCTGAGTTGTATGAATTGACAACCTCAAAACTGGAAACTTACAATGCAAGCAACAGAGTGACTGATGCATTTGCAAGACTCATGTCCACAGTGGAGAAGGCAAGCACATCCACAAGGTAAATATTCTTCCTTACATTTTTTACTTCTGTTTCTGAGGATGGCATGAAATGTGAGGTGTGAACATGTGTGCTGTTTTAGGGCAGTTCAGTTTTATATCTGAAATTCATCAATCTTTAGTTCATATTTCATATTATCATAGAACACCAAAATAAAATGGAAAGAGTTCATGAGCTGAAAGAAGAACACCAGGACATATGTTGAAAAGCTAGAGCCAAAGACTGAGCTGGAGGAAGCAACTTTCTGAGCAACAAAGAATGGCAGGGTAAACTGAACCACACAGTGCAGGGACCTAGGACAGTGACAGAACACTCTCCTTGGACCTCTGTGCAATTTATAATTACAGAATGTTCCACAATTAAAATGATGAAACAGGCTAATAATTATGTTGGGACCAAATATTCACAAATATTTCTAGCACCTGTCAAAACTTCAGGGACCAAACATCAGAGCAGTTTTGCTGTTGCAGGTTAAGGAACGAACAGGTTTAGAATGTTCTTTCTGCTTCAGTGGAGCACACATGAGGTAGCTCAGTAGTTTTTTTGCAGGTAGTATCTATATATATAAAGGCTTTATGTGTCAGATGTCATCTTTGAAGTCTGGCCTGTTGAGTGGATGTAGAATAGTCTTTCCATTTGTAAGCTTGTCTTCTTTGGGTTTATTTTTTTAATGTGTGTCTTAGCAATAGGATTCTGGACTGTCCTAACATGTAATTAATGTCTGTGGCCATTGAAAGAATCACTGAGGGATTGTCACTAAGTGAAACATTGGTGTTTTGGATGTGTGTGCCCCAACATGCAGCAAAGAGATGGTATCATATCCTCACTCATAAGTGAGCTTTAGGGTTTATTCAGCACTCTAAAACTAGATGTATTTTCATGCACTTAGGAGGAGGCACAGTAGTAGTGGGCTTTAAGCTGGCTTGCTTAGAATTATTAAAACTGTAATTTTCAAGAGCTCTTTTAAAACATGTTCTTTCACTGAGAAAACTGTCTTGCTAGTTTTCCTGCAGTGAAAATTTTTGAAGCGAATATGAAATAGAAAAGATTAATAAGCTGTGAATTTCACAGGTGAACCAGCAGAGGGAACTCCCCACTTCGATGCTGATTTTTGAATCTTGGCTTTTGGATTGCCCCTTTTTCTATCCGTGAAGTGCATGTACTCTGCCTAGAGATACACTGCTGGAAAACTTTGACTTTCATGAATTAGAAAATGTAGTTGAAATACTTTTATATTGTATTCTAAGCCTAATTTGAACGTAACCACAGTGGAACATGCAAACTCCAAATCTGTCTTCGTTTTAGCTCCGCGCACAGATTTGTATGTGGCTGCTTGCTTTAAGATGTCTTAGCTTACTTTGTCATTACAAAGGCACAGGGAAGTCTGCTTTGCTTAAATGAATGCTGGCGCTCATTTTTCTCTTTTTGTTTTATATGAGGGGTTTGGTTTTTTTCCCCAGTGCTTCCACAATGCACTTAAAAGCTCTTATTTGTGCTGTTAGAACTCTTTACTCAGATGTCAGAGTTTTTCCCCCAGTCTGGAGAGCTTTGCTTGCCAATAGGAAGAGGTTCTAGATCTGGGCTGTAGCAATATATCAGGCAGTAGAAGGAGGCTGGCGACCTCAAGACTTGGAAGTTAAGTTCAGACACACACAGGGATTAGCTGTTTTAAAGCAGTTGTTTTCAGTGTTCAATGCATTTTATATGTTTTTGTCAACTCCCTATTTTAAAAAATGTCAAATGTTTTTTTTCTTTCTTGATTTCATGCTCTCCAAAACATAAGTAGTCTTTTGTCGAGCTGGAAACCTTCAGAGAAGTAAGAAGATCTTACTTGCCTGTGCCCAATGTGTTGCAGAATGTTAGCTTTCTGCAATAAAATTGTTCTCCTTTTCAATTTTTTTTTATTCTCTCGGAATGAATTGGAGACCTTAAAATAGGAGTGACTGGGTACAGCCAGCTCAAGAAGGACCAGGCTGGAAATGGGAAATGTGGACTATTAGCCATTCATGCTAGCTAATGAGGGAAGTAGCTTAAGATTGCTTCAATGGCAACTTCAGTTGTGCTGAGGCTATTCCATGTCTATGACTTGTCTGGACTCGGGATCCTTAGGGTAAAGAGTGAAAATACCATTGTTGAGCTGTAGGATGGCATCTCTGTCTAAAATAGCTTTGTCTTTTGCTTGCAAAGCCATCTCTTGAAACTAGAAAGTCAGTTTCTCAGGAGGAAAGTATTGGGAGAGGAGGAGAAACTTCTCCCCCAGCTTGAGCCTGAAACCTTGATGGCAGCCGTTAAGTGTTGGAGGTCAGGGATCCAGTACAGCTTTCCACAGAGGCTCTGCAGCCTTGCCTAGTACCATAGAATTGACAGAGAGTAAAAGTTTATCTGCTGTCTTTCTGAAGGAAAGCAGAGCACTGATACCTCATTTAAACTGGAAATACTCCTTGGGGATGGTGTTGGATGGAGAAGGCTAACTCTTAATTACAGAGTGTTTTTAAAGAGCATTTCTCTAATCGGCTCAGTGTTGCTGATAAAGCCTGGCCTTGCTGGTGCTATCCACAAAACCCTTTGCAAACATGAGAGATGACTGAAGTCCTGAAAGACTTGAATGCTGCAGGAAGGGATTGGAATGCAAAACAGAACAGTGAGGTGCATGTGATTCGTTGACAAAGTATTCCCTATTTCTTGCTACATTTTCTTCCAGCAACTTTCCTGCCCATCAGTTTGGCTGATTTCTTGCAGCTTAGTGCTAACATGCCTTTGAAAAGAAAACTTAATGCCCACAAGTAGAGGGACTGGCACAATTGCTTGCCTAGGGCATCCCTTCTTTCCTCTATCTTGGGTGGCAATATAACCTAGTGTAAGAGAAGAGATGGATGGGGACAAAATGTGCTGCAGAGGATAGTTTAAAACCTGAATGAGGCAGAGACCTTGTTTTGAGCCAGGGCTGTGTCCTTTCGTGGTTTAGTAATCAAAAGTTCTAGTTTGAAAGCAGACAAGAGGAGTACAGCTGCCATTGACAGTCTGCTCACTTGGGTGTATGTTCTTTAAGCCGTGGTGTGTAGAAATTAGGAGTGCATGAGCAGGAGGAGCTCTGCTGTGCTCCCTTCCACTGATCAGAGTTCAGCAAAAGAAGCTCTTGACAATGGGAACATCTTCAGCAAAATTGGTGACTGACATTAATGCACAATTATGACTCTTGCCTATATCAAAGGACATGGCAGTTATTAGGCAGTTGGGTAAGTTTTAAGGGTAAAATGTGTCTGCAGTGATGATGCTAGTTTGTCTTTTAAATTTAGAGAGTTAATAAGTAATTCTTTAGGGTTGCCCTGGTGACATTTGCTACCAGAATTGTTGATTTTTACCAAGGAAGGGTACTTGCAGTGTCCAGTTTTACTGGACTGCAGAGTAACCTGCGGCCTCTTCGTTGAGTGGAGAAGTTAGGACATCTCACCCCTTGCACTGAGATGGTTTCAAAAAAGGGTTTTGGGCCTCATTACCAAGTGATTTTATCTGTAGCTCTAACTTGGTCATGGTTAAGTTATTGTTTGCTATGTTAGAGTGTTAGCTTGTGCTTCTTTTTAGATACTTTTTACATTTCACATTAAGGAGATAAATTATTGCAAAGGGCCTCCAGACAGGAGGGGAGCACTCAGTAACCAGGTGAGAGTCACACCTGAGTGAGCTCACTGTTGGAGGTGATGTTGCAGAGAGCAGCTGGTACAGCAAGAGCAATAGCATCATCCTGGGATAAAGGTCCTGCATATGACCACCAAATAAGATGCAAGGCTGCCTCTGGGACCCAGCAGTGCCATTCCTTAGCATGCCATAGTGGGGCAGAGGAGGAAGAGGCATGTGAATAGCAAGGAGTGTGTGAACTCCATCTCACCGGATTAATAGTTACAGGAACATCTCCAAGTCAGCCCTCTTCCTTTGGCTTCCTCTGTCAAACACTCCTGTGTTAGCTGTAAGTCCTTGATCACCAGGAGTTTGTACCTTTAAGAGGCTTGTGGTAAGTGATTATTAATAGTGGCCCAGGATACTGATAACACAATGGTGGGTGAGAACCACATTTCAGCAGCTCAGAGATAGTCCTTTAAGTGCAAGCAGAGCTGACTGTGAAGTTGTTAGAGAAAGAAGATATTGGCTCTCTGCTTCTTCCTTCAGTAAATCCAGCACACAGCTTTGTTTATCCTCCAGAATTTGGTAATCTGCCTAGTCAGTAGCTCATGAAATTCCACTGCAGCAGAGAAAACAAAATATTACTATTCTGGTGAAGGTAAGTCAGATTTAGTATTTAGGCTGTCCCATCTAGAGAACTTTCATTAAATGGAAATTTCAAGTAGCAAACTGAAGTGATAGTTCAGTGTCAACGCAGCCATCAGTGATGTCAAGGATCAGTTTGACTCCAGCTCTTTTTGACTTCTACTCCTAGCTAAGGAATTCTGAGACTGCTGTGGAAGCAAACATGTAGCCCCTTGCTTTCCCCTGATCTCTGATCAGCTGAGGAAGCAATCTTCATGGGTGCTGACAAAAAAAAAAAATAGAAGTACATGCTGTGTCATGACCATTGCCTTTTCATGGTCTCAGTTTAAAGTTTATGGACAAGATACAGAAATGGAATTTCTGAAGTGGTTTAGGGAAAGCAGTTCATTTGCTTCAAGTCTTTTGTCTCAGCTTTTTGTCCTAAAGGTGAGCTAGAATTTCTTGCATCGTTACAGGATTTATCAGGTGCCTTTTTGGAATTGGAATAATGTGTGATGGAAAACTGAGTATTTCCAGTAGTGTGCAATGTTCTTCAAAGATAAGCCAAATGTCTATAAAGCATGGATGTTTGGCTGGGGGTGGATGGGAGGTCTGTAGCAGTCTGAGCCAGGCTTCATTTTACCGAGGAAATGTGAGGGGTTTGCATAATAGTGAGAACCAAGTGACATGAGGTTCAGACCTCTTTATGCATTTGTGCTCAGTAATTCTGGTGAATAATGCAAAAGGTGAAGTAAACACCAGTGATTCCCAAGTTGCTCTATATATCATCATGGCTACTAGTACTACTGCACTTCAAAGCAAGTAGCTACAAGTTACTAGCCACGTTTTGCTGCTGATGAGTCCTGAGGGGAAAAAAGGTTTGTGGGTCCCAGTGTAGAGTGGTGTGATGTATAGTCTGAGAACAGTTGTGTTGGAAACACAGCGTAAGTACTTTTTAATTTAAAATATTGAGAAGTAAGTTAGGAACTTTTAATGTCCTTTCAAGATTTTTCTACTTTTATAAGGATTGTATTGGATTTAGGAAGTTTAGAACTAATGCTCCTACTGTTTCATCTCTAGAATATGGGCATGGTTGTCTCTTCAAGTGAGTCTTTTCACTCTAGAACCTGCCAAAAAAAGAAATATATATATATATTAATTAGCATTTGAATAGGACTTTTTCCTTATTGCGACAATATACACAGGAACATTTTGCTGACTTTCTATATTAACATTTTGTTGGTAGGCAGGTAGGTATTATAACATTAGACTGCCTTCAAGTAGCTTACAGAAGTGCCTGTCAGTGGGAGACCAACTGACAGAACATTGCTTCAATCAGTGATTCTTTCAGTGATCCCAGGAATATCAGGTACTGGATTAATGCACTTTATTCTTTTCTTCTCAACAGGAAGCCTAAAAAGGAAGAACATCTTAGTGAAGAGGCTGCCAAGGTGATTTCTAGCCTTCCTGACTTAACTTTCATGCATGCCAAGGTGTTGATGTTCCCAGCCACATTAACACCTTCAACAAGCTGCCAAGAAAAGGTAGACTAAAGTGATGTGAATTGGACGTTTTCTATTGATTTTTCTTTTCTTCCCTCTGCGGGTCATAAAAAGCAATCTTGCTTTAATTTAAAAAAAAATCAATTTCAGATGATTTGTTGGTAAGCAGCACTAGAAAGGTATACATAGTAATGTATATTTATTTACATACTGGAGTCCTAAATTTATATTAGAGAAAAATGTAAATAATTGGGGGTAAATCTTTTTGAAGATCTATTCTTTTTGTTGTGCTGGGCTGTATACATTTATGTCTTTGTGAAATACACTGGTGGTGTCCTTCTTACAAAACTTTCAAAAGTTAAAAAAAAAATTATGTAATGAAAACTTCAGTCTTCACAGTCTGTGAAGTTCCCCCTTAAGACTTTCAGATTGCATTGAGCAACTTTTTCTTTCCTGCATACATTAAAATACTTCTTGCTGGAAAAAAAATCAAAAGGTTGTGTTGCCCTTTGTGGGTTTTTCAGTTATTGTTTCTTTAAAACCCAATAATTTCTTTTGTGTTTTGACAAGCTTTAGATGTGTTTTTCCTTTTCTTTTCCCCCATCCCCTCCCCCTGTTTGGTTGGCTGATCAGTTTTTATGTTCTTAAACTTCAGTAGTATGGCTTTGTCACTATATACCCTTTTGAAAGCTTTGCTGTCAGTAACTTCTTGTTCCAGTTATGGATTACTGTCTAAATACTTGATTTATTTTTTTTTTTGGTCATTAGAAGGTTGTCTGCTTTTATTCAGTTTGATTTGGAAAAGAAGGACCAAAACAATATGAATGTCTTACAATGAAATTTACCTGTTAAAATTTTTTATGTTCTGTTGTACCACTATTCCTGTTTGATTTTGCACAGTGTAAAATTACATAATCATAGATTGCTATGGTTTTAGGCTGTATATACAGTAAAAAACTATGGGTTGTAAATGTCTGGGGAAATTCCTATGGAAAAAAGAGAGCTATGTCGAAGAACCTCTAAAAAGGTCAATATGCATGCCCAAGGTCTTTTGAGATTTAAGTGTGTAAATTTCCTTTTAGCTTACACAAAATAAAATAACTTAAAAGATACACATGTCCACAGCCTGCTCTCTTTTTATACAGAATGTAAGCACTAGTCACCTTTCTGTTGATGGTAAAATCGATGCACTACATTAACAGTAGGACCTTCTAATTTGTGTTACTCAGTCCCACAAACCATACCCTGTAGGGTCCTGCAGCCTTTCCTTTAATTGCCCTGTCTCTTTATCATGTTACGATTTAATCTTTTATTTCTGTCTCTAGCTTGTCTCCTTCTGGCTTGTAGGGTGATATGGTTCATGATATTTTGGGTTAGATACTTCTTCAAAGCAGTTGGCAATACTCAGCTGTAAGAAATACCAATTGTAGTGAGGTGAGAAAGGACAACTGGTTTTACCTATTTCTTAGCTAGAAATTAAAAAGTAAGCATAGCAGTTGTTTATATCTCCTATTATGTTAGCTTGCACTGTAGCTCTGTCAGCAACATCTCTCAAGAGGATGTCAGTGGATTGTCTGCAGGTAAGGCATGTTCTGGGTGCTGATATTCTTGGGGGTGTATGGGCAGACTCTCCCATGTCTAATCTTCACTGTGTGCACAGCTCTTTAAGTGCTCAGTAGTCACCACCAGTTCATCACTTAACATCTAGTTCTCTAGTGTTTTCTTACCTACTCTATGAATTCTTTATCATCTGACAGCACTTGGGTCAGAAGAGCTCGAGTTTGGTGTCATTAGCTGGGCGAGCTGAAATGTTGTCCTTGGAAAAGGAAGCTTTTTATACTCCTTGAAATGTCCTTGAGAGACGAGTGCTGGGGTCCCATCTTTGTGAACGCAGGAGTGGTGGCTGCTCAGAATTGAGATAACAGCTCCTACAGCTGTGATAAAGTTAATTTGTAAAGGCTAAATTGTCTCCTTTGCCCTCTAATTAGTACTGCAGTGTACAATGCTGTGGTATCAAACTGCACCCTGTTGTAGGAGAAAAGGTTTATGCAAGAGCCATCTGCTTTGCCATGTAGCCCCAAACCCACTGCTATTTGCTGTTTCTGCAGATTTTCATTACAGTACTGACTTCATGCCTGTTACATGTCAAAATTAGCTTTGCTAATCTCCCAGGTTTAGCATAGTATTCTTTAGTGCATGCTTATTATTTCTTTCAGTTCTGGTGTGGGGCTGCTGTAGGTTAAAATTGGTCCCTTTGTTTCCATGACTGTGGCATGTCGCTTGGAGCCGGAGCAGTGGGATAGCTGCAGCAGAGAGCTATAGCTATTGTTTCAAGGAGAATATGTTTAGGAGCTGACTCATGATCCTTGTCTGGCAGTGAGTGGACTGAAGTATTAAGAAGAGGTGGGGGTGGAAGTGCCAGCTGCAAGTTGATCTTTAGTCTCCTCACAATTGCCTCCAGAGGCAGCTGCCCATTTGTCTTCCAGTCTTCGAGTGCAGTTCTGGTGGCCTGCCGTGGGTGGGGGAGGGGGAAAGGAGATTTCTATTGTGACTGATGTACCAATCTGAACTGCTCTGAAACCTGGTACTACCCAGAGTGTGTTTATGGAGGTTTTATGTTCTTTCTGCCACGGAAAAATAATAAATTCATCCCACAGTCCTTCTTCACACTGCTGAAAGGCATATAGCTTACATCAAAATTCAGCCTTTTGAGGTGGTTGCTCCTTGCCTTAAAGAGTTGCACTAGTTTTTGTCTCCTAACTTAAGCCTTCTTCTTTCTTGCCAATGGTGGGATGGACAGACAGGGTCCTCTGCCTCTATCCTCCTGCCTCGTACAGGCAGCTTTGTTCTTACACAGACAGTTTTGTCTAACAGATCCGGCTGCACCGGGATTGTTCTTCTGTGCTGTTCCCATTGACACAGCGTGCCCTATCTTGTTTAATCTTGCCAGTAGGTTTATGAGCAGGATGGTAATTGATACTTTTTGCACATATGTGTTGCAGTGCATTGTCATCAGACCTGTCAGTGTGCATCACTTTCACTCGAGAACTAGTGTGATTTAGTAGTGAGGTGCCTGTGTGCCCATGCAGCAGAAGCAGTGGAGGACACTTGGTTCAGATGCAATTGCCTGAGTTGGCACATGGCCATGAAGCAAAGTCCAAAGATCCCACTGTGAAGCAAGCTGCAGGCTCCTGAATGACTGCTAAGAAGAGCTGGACTCTGCCTATATTGTCCAAAAGACTGCACACTGATGCTCAGGGATTCAGTGCTGACTTTTCCAGAGCACCACCACCTGCTGCAGGTGTTAGCAGTGCTGTGCTGCCCACAGGGCTTGAAATGTTGAGACCTTCTCAGAGTATCATTTTCTTGACAGATTCATTTTGAGATGCCAAAAGTAAAGCTTGCAAATAGTGTATGTAGGCCCTCAAATGCAATTAGTGTATACAGAACTTAACCCTTCATCACATTGAATTGTTGTATAAAATTTTACCTGGTAATGAAATTGTCATGTGGAAAGTTTTGTTGTTGGACTGCAGAGCTGCTGCACTTGGGCTGAGTATCTAGCAGTCTTTGTAGGCTGTGAGAGAGACCTAGCTCAGTGCTTGTAAGACGGGTCATCCTTGGCCTAACCACTTACGTATAGGTGCAGCTCTTTTGTGCCGGTTCTGCACCTCTGCATAATTATCTTTTAAATTTCAGAGCACTCTGAAAATGCAGGATAGTTGAAAAATACACTTGAATATAATTTATAAAAGCATCTAATAATTGCATAGCACCTGCTAGGAGTGTCGGCTACAAAGCAGAGTAGTTTTCATCATCTGTCCTCTGTGCCAAATAGCACAGCCACTAAAAGCAGCAGGCAGCCTGGTCTGCTCCCTCAGGTGAACCTGGAACATGAAAGGAGATGGGAAGAAACAACACATTCCACTTTAGAGGGCTAAAAACAAGGGGAGGAAGAAGGAGCTGGAAGAATAAAATGTAAAGCAAGAGCTCAGGAGAAGCTCTGGGTAGGGGAATAAGTAGGTAAAGCAGGACTCAGAGTGTAGGCAGCTGGGATAGCTATAGGAAGAGCAGGTGGTAGAGAAAATGGGATACAAGCATGAGGATTAGGAGCATTTGGAGAGAAGAGAAAGCCTGGGATGGATTACAGGTGCACACACTGTGCCCACTGGCATAATCTGGAACTCAGAGACCCAAGTGTCTGAGTTACTGTACTGCAGAGAAATCTTGTCAAACCCACGAGGTGAGTGAGTTGTGTCCATTGCAACAGCCTGCAACTGCTATCAATTAGTTTCAGTAGAGAGCTGGACTGCAGACATGAGGGGTTGAAATGCAGCTGCTGGTTCCTGTTTTAGCATTGGTACGAGTCCAGATGTTAGAAGACCTTTCTCGAAAATAATTTTTAAATAAGGAGGTACCTTACAAAGCCAGAATGTAGATGTAAAATCAAAAAAAAATCCTCCAAAGCTGAGCTCTGCCACTGTGACTTGGAACTGCAGCTTCAGTCCTGTCATGCGTCTACAACGTGACAGTCGTTACTTACATATCCTCCTGTCTTCACCTGATCCTTGCCTCATGCTCTGTGCAGATTTATTCTCTGAATCAGCATAGTGCAGTGAAACTTCTCTGCAGGTCCCTTGCCTCACACAGCTGAAGAGAATGGATGGCCTTATGTGGAAATTGCAGGGAAGGCTCAGTGGAGTGCAGTGCCGTCCTGGCTGGAAGCAGCTGGCCATGCCAGCTTTTTTTGCAGGAGGTCACTTGTGCTCTTCTGTCATTTGGTGCCCAGCATGATATGGCTGATTGGGTTGTGCAGAAATGCTAATTTCTCTGGGATTAGTCTTAAGCAGTTAGGAGCTTTGTTTGTTTGATATACAATTGTGGCTCTGTGATGCTGGGGGTCAGGTGCATGCGTGAAGTGCCCAAGACTGATGGAGGTCTTGTTTTCATCTTGTTGACCTGTATTAAAACTGTCATATGTGTTGTTAACCTTGTGCTGCAGGTGGATTCAGAGATCAACTCTGTTTGAAATGCCATGTTCCTCTTTGTCAGCAATATCTGAGAAGGATTCAGCTGATACAGGTTTCACACACACCTCAAAGGGCATAGGTGATTGCTCACTGTCCCATGTCTGGATTCACTATATGGTCACCAAAGGAAAGTATGTTCCTAGTTTAGGGTCTCTGAATCTTCCTCTGCAGATCCATTGATTCTGTCAGGATCCTATTTGCCTGCCATATATCTGCAGTGGTTCCTAGTGCTGTACTCCATAAGGGAATTCAATTATGTGCCTTAAATAAGGCTTTGGGACTACTTGTGGAATACAAAGGGGCAAAAAAATACTTCTCATTGAACTAAAAGACACTGTGGTCCACTGGAAAATAAAATAATGAGACTCTAACTAAAGACTAATTTAAAGGAGAGTCAAATTAAGGTATTGTACATATTTTTTAATATTTGCCTATGCAGACTTAATGGTTCTTCTGGCATGGTTTTTCACATGCTTAACAATCTTTTGGCATAGTTTTGTGTGTTAGGAATATGTACCCATGTGTGCAATAAACTGATCTGAGGCATCAAAATGAAGCTGCCCCTCTTGGGCTGTATTCCATATAGGGACTCTGCTGGGCTCTCATCTGTGTCCTCACTGGTTTTGTGACCAAGGAGGCATTTGCTACTGACCTGCTGCACCTGCTGCCAGTTGGGCCCTTGTGACTGATCCTTGCTTGTTAGGGCTGGATCATCATCAATTATTAGTACAGATGCATGTGCAGTCCCATGCTGCAAGTGTTCGTGTGGTTGACACCAGGTCTAGCAAGCAAATCCCCTTGGAATGCAAGTAGGTTTTCTGCTGGGATTGTTATCACTGTGTGAGCTTTTTCTCCCATATTTAAAGCAATGGAGTTATTAAGTGGGGAGGGAGGGGAAGCAGAGGGACAGTTTCAGCTCGGCAACCTGGTCTGTGCCTTTGTCTCTGCTGTTCCAGTGAAATGTGTCTCAATTGTTTTTGACTCTTTAAGTGATAAAACACTTGGTATTCATTTCCCTCAGCACAGAGCTGCAGTGAGGGCAGCTTACCCTGAAGCCAGGTGTAGTTTTCAAGACTGCCTTA